CAAGGGTGTTTATCGTAATTAACCAGGGGTGTGAAAATATTTGAGTCATTTTTTAAAGATATATGGTATTCTAGTCATATTCGCATAGTTTCATGGGATTTGAGTCATTTTTTCTAAATAATTTTTAAAAAGTGACATTTTTGTAAAAACTGTAAAAAGATGACATTTTTGTAAAGTGATATTTTTTGAAATTTCTCTAATTTTTTGAAGATTCAAATGAATTATAAGAAGAAAAATGGATTAGTTTTTGCTTAGTCAAACAAATGAACATATATAATTCTGAAAATATCACGAACTAATATTATGTTTGAAATTTGATTGGATTCCGATACCGTAGAAATGGCCCTCTCGATAACAAAACTCTTGACGAATTTCAAACCAACTATACTACCAAATAATTCGCCGGAAAATATATAACCCAGAAGTATTCGGTTTATTCTTTCCACATAATTTTGAATGTTGTTTTCTAAAAAATAGGCATCATTAGGACTTCAGAATCTCAAAATATTAGTATTTTTTATTGTAAAAAATTCGAGTTAGATTTCCCCGAACGTGTGGCCGGAAGAAAGAGCATATGGGATACGACATGTCGCACATGTATCTAGACTACCATTTCAATTAACTATAATTGTTCAAGTAAATTAATTATAATAATCCTATATGTCATCAAGGAATCGTAATCGTTATCCAACAATATGATCTTCTTTTGCTTCTCCATCATGGTCTAGGGATCTTTTTGGCTCAATTTTAAAGAAATTTACCATGACTAAAAAATTTTTTGTTCAACATTACAATCTTTTATCACTTATCACCATATATTTTGAGATGACACAAGCATGTGATGACAGAAGTTAAAATATTTTCTATGGCAATGTATTTCGGGTTGTTTGGCATCATGTCAATGTCTATCCTTCTCCCATATTCTCTCAACTCCTCGCCTATTTCCTTCGACATCTTTGTTTGCTAATTTTAACAACTTATTTTGGAGGACGAGAGAAAGAAAAGCTAAGAAATAATTTTTACAAGTTTGTTTGTGAATTGGAACGAAGACTTTGAGAACCGGATGTTAAAGGAATCGGCCGGAGCTACAAATTTCGGTTTTTTTAAAACATCTTGATAATGTCAAACGAACGATGGACATAAACTCAAAACAATCTCTCAAGTTTGGGTTGGTTATATGTTTCACTGAAAGTATAACAATGGTAGAACCAAGAACCATCCAAAAATACTTCTTCTTCTCATGTCGAATGAGATGCCAAGTTTTTGTTTTTGTTTTTTTTAGTAAAATGTTAAGTATGAGATGCCAACTTTAATATCTAAGAGGTGGATTATCTCATGAACAAGATCTCCTTACTATGAAAATGGTGAAATTTCTCATCCCATCTATTGATTTAATCTATATTATATTTTTTAGTCTTAGAGCTTGAACAAAAAAAAAAAGAGCTTATTGA